CGACTAGTCGCTCTTCTTGTGAGGTTAGACCATCTTCTGTTTTCATTCTGAAAAAACACACACAAGCACAGAACTAAGCACAGAATAGATTTGTTGCACAAAACCAAACATTATTATGCATTTTGGACCGTACAGTCGAGCACTCCTGGGAGCCTCCTGGAAAGGAATGCAAGTCGAATATCACCTGGCGCAGATCGGACGCACCAGTGGGGATCGAGGTGGTGGCAGTGGGTTTTATCAGCACCCGCCGACATCGCGAAAGAGATCCAAAGGAACTGATGACTTGGAGTGACTCCAAGTGACAAGTGGGTGACTCCACGAAAGAGAGCCTTAAAAAAAAACGATTCTGAGTCTGGATTCCCTTCCAAAGATATCCTGCAGATAGACCTTCTTCTGTTTTGGGACCTCCCCCCCAAAAACATCCTGCAAGAACCTGTAAGCAGAACCGTGGATCCTGTCGGCATTTCAGGATGCAGTTCGTGAGGCCGTGGTCCCATGTGGTTTGTGCTTGGGCCATGAGTGTGTCGAATCTGAGGCTGGCAGCAACTGGCAGGAGGTCACCATGAGAATTTTCCACATCTCACATCTGATGTGTTCAAGATCACAAGTTTTAGGACATACGTTATAGGACATAAGTTTTGGGATCTCCGTCGTTTCCGGGAGTGCCAGGACCAGCTGGTAGCCTACACCCACCAGCCTTTGGCAGTCCCACATCACACATCTCATGTCAATCTATACACCTCATGTTAAACAAGCAAAACGACATATTTGATGGGTCTCTTTCACCAACACTGTGACTCTTCAGATCCCCCCAAGAACCACACCGACCTCCGACTCTACCCCTTTCTACCGGTGACACACCGGTGCCTTGAGGTCTTTCTCTGCGGCTTTTCGCAAGAACTTGGCCAAGAGTTCGCGAGGGATGGTGACCAGCGAGACCTACGCGCGCCCGCACGAACTGCTTGGGGTGAGATCGGGAGTTCGGCATGGTATATTTCGGCAGGGTCGGAGGACACGAGCTGCTTGCTTGCGCTGCTTCTCTTCAAGCTATACATTAAATTTCCAAGCAACTAGACTAAACATCACCAACTTCAACGACACACTGGGGTGCGATGCCTTGTCATGGTAGAAGGGATCCGGCACCAAGGTGCTCTCGCGCTCTGGGTCGTAGGAGCTATAGATGCCATCAAGGGGTGCTAAGGCATCGGCAAAAGCCGCCCACGTCAAGGGCAATCGAATGGTGCTGATCCCGTTCCTCACCGCGAAAGAACACAAACCGGAGTCGAGTGATTTCACAGATGAAATGCGATGAGTGTGCGCGTCCCAACTAATGTGAGCCAACGGTAGACTACCACCAACCAGGACTCACAAGGGGTGCTCAATGGACGCCTCGAATGACCTCTTTTTGGGGCTATAAATAAACGTAGACTCCCCTTCAAAGGTCTTGGCTACCAATGTGGCAATGATAGTTTTTGAGCCTCTTGACATGCCAAATTGCTGGCCAGGTCCAATGAACATGCATGTTGGATTGAGTTTTCATGCCAGCATCAATCCGTACATGTGCACCATGTGTGAACGGAGTGGAAGATGTAGAGCTGCTAGGAGATTGCATGTGTATAGTCTTCAGATGTCTTCACAACGTCATGATGTGTGTGTGTGTGTGTTGGCTAACGGTGGACTGAAACATCATGAGTGTGCCTTGCCGAAGCTCGGTGACAATTCAGAGACGAGACGTGACGAGACCGTCGGTGTGCCTCAGTCGCTCCAAAAGATTTTATGGACAAGTTCCAACATCACAAGTGCATCGTTCTTCTGCGTGTCCTACCTGTTTTTTTTTTCACATCAGAACGATTGGACCATACAAATCGATGTCAAGCGGACGAACCGGTGACGACTCGCTTCGTCGAGTCTTGGGCGGACGAACGGCCGGCACCGAGCAAAACGCGGATTGGCCCGAGCGTCTGGGCGATCTGATCCAAGTCAAAGTCTGTCATGAAATACTTTCGGTGCTCTTCAAAGATCTTCAAAGTTTCCTCCTGCCGAGCAAAGATGGATGCCCACTTAGACAGAGGGGAAAAGCTATCAGAGAGGTGTGCGACCCTGAGGGTCGAAGAGAGGTCGAGAAGAAGAAAGCCTCCGGAGATGACCTTCCTTGCTCCGTTGGTGAGCATCATGTTCTTCTAAAACTAGCGCTGTGAGGATCCATCAACTCCCATGACATCACGATGAGAACAGTTGCGACATGTTGGGAACTCGTTCGCAGGGCAAGCCTGTAACAAGCAACAAGGCAGGCAAGGTGGTTCAAAGCAAAGCGTTTCATAGGGGTTCTGCCTCTTTATCTGGGTTTTACCTGCGAGTCGCATTCGCCACGTTTCAAGTTTGCCAAATTGAACTCAGCATCTGAGTCCAAGAACTACAGTACCCCAAGCTGAGTTGACTACCTTTCGCCCACTACAACGAGTCCACGTGCGCGCACGCATGTGTAGTGATCATGTCAGCTCTCCTGCCCTTTGGTTGCATTCAAGTGGTGTGCCAGGACACCCTCCGAGGGCCAAGGCTCATCGGCATGTGACAAGCGAGGAGGTAAGCACTGGCCCTGACCCTGCTTCTGGGACATCACAAAACCTGGGCAAACGATGCAAAGCGACTGACTGGCCCATGGCGGCCATGCGGTCGAACCTCTGTCACTCACCTGATCAGATCAGGGACTGGTGCCAGATTCGTTGGACTCCTCGCTGGGCGATCAAATGTTCCAGTTCAAATCCCGCAATATCCAAATCCTCTGATTCTGCCAGGGTTTCTGGTACAAAAAAGACAACAAAGGTCAGGTCTGATCAAGTGAGGATCGATATTTCCCGAACACAGCCCCATGAGATTGGGGAGCCTTTCTAGCTAACCCGGGAACTCTTTTTCTGGACTATTCTTTTGCCCCAAGAACCCACTTTTTAACCCGAACCCAGGATATGGAAGACTTTGAAGGAGGCAAGTGCCTGTTCGGAACACACCACTTCACCACTCCCTAGGTCCACCAATTCGTGAACCCTTTGGGCCATCGGTTCACCCCCAAGGATCTCCCCGCGGTGTGGGGGCTGGTCTAGTTCACAGCAGTTCACAGCAATGCTACAAAAAGCGTCCATTCTATATGGTGTACCATATATTCTATGCTAAAAACATTCCCTGACTGAAGTGCATTCTTGCCGCAACGTTGCTGAGAACGCTTTGCAATCGAAACCCAAGGCGTGTAAAACCGAGGCTTACTCAGCCTTGCGAGCTGTTGGGATCCCACAGTCTGCATCCACCGTCAAGGAGCTGCCAGAAGAGCCGGAGAAAAACCAATCTTCCAGCACCAGCCAACCTCCAAGATTCACACCAGCACCTGCAAAGATCTTTTTCTCCGAAACTCCGAGTCCAATGGACCAACATTGAGTCCAACAGTTCACAGTTCAGAGTCATTCAAAAGCAACAATTGCAAAAGCTAAGGAGTGACCACCCCAACCAAATTGGGCCAGCCAGTTGGAGTGTCATTTGGGCCCCACAGGTCTCACTCCTCCACCATTTCACCCCACCTTTTGGCATAGTAAAGAGCTCCGTCACTGCATCATCGTACATGCGTTCCATCGTACCTGACTGTCGAACACCCAAGTAGCCCACGGCGCACAAGGAGCCGACCGCGATGAGGGCCACGGTGAGCCGCTTGGCCCATCGCCTCGTGCGTTCGTTCGGCATCGGCATGCAGAGACCGGGCAAGAGGGAAGGCCTCTCCAGTTGCAAAGAGACGGGGAGAGGGATTGAAGTGGATTTAAAGGGCTATGATGTCTTTTAAATCAACCTCAGGATGAGTAGTTTATGATATGAGCTTCACAGGAATATCGGAATATCCAATGGATGTGCATACCAATCAGGGCATCTTTATCACGATCATGTGTTTGATCTGTTCAACCTTCTGTCTCTCTGAAGGGAACCCACCGGCCGCCTTGCCCCACCCAGCATCCATATCCATGAACTCTGGCACCAGCTGACCAGCTGACCAGCTGGCGCAAAATTTCAACACGCAACATAAAGCCCTCCTGCCAGGAGTCGCACAGGGGTGCCTATTGGAGGATAGGGGTAGCCCACTGGGTAGCCCATTATCCACTCACTTCGGGACCCAAATCCACCCCGAAGTAAGTGACTCCTGGTGCATTCTCTTGCATTGGTCCTCTTTAAAGAGACCAAGTGGCAAGGGCTGGCTCACTGAGTTGACCTCTTTGAGAACACCGCCCTCTAAAGCTTCCAGCTCCTCTGATGAGCAATCCTCCATCATGGCCATGCGATCGATCGATCTACGCAAAAATCAAAGGCTGGAGCCAGGACGTTTGGCATCAAACACGCATATATACGAAGTGCAAATGGACGGTGTGTGCGGAAATGGGGTCAGCAAAAACTGCTTATACGAAGTTGGTGCATCAAGAATACCTTTCACAAAGTTCTGCGAAGGTTTCTGGGTGTTCGTTACTTCCTACGAAATGGAAACCTCCACGAATAGCCCCGAGTTGCACGAATGTCCAGGGCCTTCCACTAAAGATAGTAGAATAGAGGTTTTCGCAAAAGCCTTTCTGTGCACTACCGCACTACCCTTCCGCTTGCCTCTGAATGTACAGCCAACAAATCTTTAGGGGCTCTTTAATGTTAGCAAAAAACATATGCACACCACTGAATATGATGATACACACTGATGATACATTTACAGCATCATCCACTATTTGAGCCTATTAGGACAAACTGCACTTCATCCACTATTTGTAGGACAAGGGATGGAAAAGGGATGGTGTCCCACCAATTCTGAGATGATCCGCGGGCATCTCAGGGGGCCTCCTAGACTACATGTACCAGCATATGCCCTTCGTAATCAGGTGATTTTGTAATCAGCAAACCCAAGTTGTATCATGTTGTATCCAAAAATGACTGGTCAACATGGACTTTCCGAACCTCTCACACTTGCTCCGCCACGGCCAGGGCGCGTGACCGCGAGACTGCGCCGCCAAGTCGAGCAAGACCAAGGCCTGTGGCGTGTGACTCAGGCAAACACGTGGCGGGTACTGCGCGCTCGATCTGGGGCCTTCAACGAACTCCACACTCAGTTCCTCATTGGGCTATGCCAACACCTTGTTTTTCTTGACGCTTCATTGCAGGGTATGGCTGGGGACTTCGAACTATCCCAGTTCGTTCACCTGGTCAAACTCGATCTTCTCGACTCCTTTCGGCCCCCCCCCGTTGCGTCTCTGGAGGCCAACTCCAAGGAAGACCTCGGACGGACGGACGGACCACGGACGGACCAACACGCCAACCTTCGGGAGGGTTTCCACCAGCACCAAACAGGTGAGTTCAACCAGCACCAAACAGGTGATGTTCAAGATGTTCTGAAAAGTCACAAGATTGCTATTTGAGGTGGATAGATATATGTCATTGATCGACTTTGGTATGAAGTCTCCTGTTATATCCCAAACGATCTTGGACCGTGTTTCGCACCTGGAAAGGTCATGCTGCGTTGTGAAGGATTCCGAGAGGGTTGTTGCTACCGGCATCGATTCATCTCATAATGAGCTCATATAATTACTGCTGTTCATTATAATATGTAGAAATTCTGATAGCATCTGATAGCCAAACAGCTTTGTGTGGAGCCACAGGCTATTTGCAAACAAACACAAAACACAATCAAACCCTACTTTAGAACAAGCATCTCTCAAGCTGTTGTAACGACTACTCCTCTAATAGGCTACCAGTACCGTCAATGCACGTTTATTTGTGGATGCATAATTAGATCCGAAGCCAAGCTAATCTTCTCAGCTTTAGCTTGAAAGGTTTCCGGACAGAGATATACTCTCCAAAGGCGCGGTGGTTTGGTCTCGATTGGAAACACCCCGATTTCGCCGTCTTCCACATCCGTCCGCTATGCCAATCTCAAAATGAACCAGTGACAGTCATTCATGGAAAATGATGCAGTGCAGTTCCTGTGGTGCCCCACCATTCCGTGGAGATCTTCGGGTCGAAATAATGGCCAACTCCTCAGTGAGATTCGCTTTTCTGAAGAACATGATTCTTGTGTATGTTTGGTCAAGTCTCTCAATATCAATTGAAACAGGTAAAAGTATGTAAAAGCAAGTCTCTATAATCAAGATCTGGAAGGCTGGTGCAGCATCAGTTCGTCCAAATTCTCGTTAAACGATTCGGAAGGGAGGAACACCATGTTGTTCATGCATGCGGATCTTCTTATGCATCATCTCATTCAAGACGAACACTTCTTCAAGGGCCTTTGAACACTAGAAGTCACTAGAACTTCACCTCCAGAGCTGGTCAAACAACGAATTAGCAATTCTTGAAACGTCCGAGTCATCGGAGCAGTGACCAGCTCCGAAGGTTTTCTCCGTCCTCTCGGGGGCGCCTGGGCGGCCCAAGTGCCGCAGCGTTGGCGCATAGACCTTGCGGCGGGAGCGCTGACTCGGATGGATCCGAGTCCGCGCTCAAGCGTTCGGTGTCACATGGTGACACAAGAGGGAACATGTTAACACGCAAGGATTGGGTATATCGGTATATCTCATTCCCTGTCAAAGTGGATGATTGATTGGTAAAGGCCTTCCGTCTAAAATATCGTGATTTCTTTAAATATTACAGGTCGGGGGTGTGGTTCAGATCTGGGATTCCGCCTGGTCGCCCATGGCTCCACATGGTGTCCGTTTCAGCCACTTGGAGCTGCACCACTTGCCAAAGGGCTCGGCTCGCCTGGTGTAACACCTGGTCACCACGAAGTGGGCCCCGTTAAATCGAAGAGTTGGAGTCAACCAAAAGCACTGGTAAGTCACAGGTTGATCTTACCATAAGTCACCGGAAAAGCACAGGGGACTTGCATGAAAAAAATCCAAGAATCGGGGCATTGCATCACCCACCTCATCATCCCTTCTCTTTCACCATCTTTGTACTCTTGCGGGACGTGCTTATCTTCTGAAGACCCTGCAACCAGCTACAGTAGGGTCATTACGACCATGACACACACACACACACATCCATCAATCCAAATCCACGGGTCGCATCGCGCAGGTCTGTCGGCCTGAGGTGTAACTCCTAGCTACGCGTCCATCGCGCGCCGCGAATCAAACATCGAAGGTTACAGTGGTGTCTGTCACACATGCACCGCAACAGTGCAAACCAAAGTGTAGGGAGTGACCTTTCGCATAGGGTGGACTAGATTACACTGGAAACTGAGGCCTATCTTCAGCAAGTATGTAAGAAGATGTAAGAAGACTCATTCAGGCTGGAGCTCATTCCATTACCCCATTTATTGCTATATTGGCAGACAGATTGGTATGTATTGAATATACCAAACAAGCTGGTCATTTCTCCGACCGATGGGCTATAGGTGTTTGTTTCTTTCTTCTGACCGACTGGCTGCCGCGTCGTTTCCTTCGGGTCGCCGCGTCGTTTCGTTCGGTCTCCGGTCTCCTCGGTCGACGCTGGTGACGCCATGCACCTGGAGCGACGGTCCAGCGCTGCGAGACGCGCAGCGCGTGGAGATGCGGGAGGGTCCGCGAGGTCTGCGATCGGCCCGTGTGAGGAGGAAGGAACCCAAGAAGGACATGGAGGATCTCGACCGAGCTACCAGTGGAGATGCCGGCACATGTTCCGAACTCTGATCCGGTTCCTGAATTGAACCGCAAGATATATCTACAGAATAGAGAGATCCAATCATCTCAACGCTCAACTCCTCGGTCTCTCAGTCTCTCCCAGTTGCAGGTCATGGAACAGCAGTGGCCACTGCAGCTGTGAGATCTCCTGAAGTGACATTTCAATGTTTTCGGGCACTAACCGCAACATTCTGAGAATCCTTCCGGGTTTTGTCCACAGATCAAGTCAAACACAAAACATGTTGCTTTGAACAACATCTGCACAAAGGCCATTCACATCCTGCTTGCTTCACATCTTTGCATTACACCCGCAGTCTAGATCGGCTGCACTGAACAATTTGAACATACCAGACCCAGATGGTCAACTGGAGAGCTCACTACATCTCACTACCAGGGTCTGAAGCCACCTGGAAACGCAAAAACAGAAGGCTCAACCGTAACCTGTCTCGTACCAAGGCCGCTGGCTTCGCCACCTGCCCAGAGACTGTCTACATCTGCCAGGCCATGTCCCACCTCTCCTGGGTTCAAGGAGCTCACGATCTCCTTCGTCAGCCTTTCCACCAAAGTCGTCCTCACCCAGCCTTGGCCCGCCTGTGTGCAGGCAACAAACACTGACAGGGTGGGACCCGACATGACCCGACTGCTGTCCATCTGGAGTGAACATTTGTGTGAACATATTCAAATGCGTGCGACGTGCGAACATAATAAGCTGCATTGCATATAAATTGTGACTTCACAAGAAAAAACGACTTAGATCCAACTGATCAACTTCTTTAACTTGCTCAGCTTGTCCCCGCAACTGGTCGTCTTTCGATCCCCATCTCGCCCTTCGCACCTGGTCAAGGGCAGCTAAACTCCTCAGTGAGGAAACCAACACAGCTCACCCAATCGACCAAAGAAGCGCCATTGCAGAAGCCCAGAAACGTTGCAAACACAGTTTGACACTTTCGGACCTGTCAAGATCCACTTCATGCAAGCACGGTATGCCGCTCATGTCGGCTGGTTGAATGGTTTCAAACGTTTGGTCCGAGATCGAACAAGTTAATCGATGTTCCGCTTGGCGTTGGTTTCATTCGAAAAACCAAGGTGCAAGAGAATGCAAACCGCATCCAGCTTGTCGTCATGTCTGTCCAAGAGCAGCAAAGCCTCAAGAGACCAAAAGAGGTTATCAAACAACCTATAGAAGTGGAGTAACAACGGTGTCTTTCTCCGGATGTACTCCACTTTTGAATCAGCACGAAGATCAGCGTTCAGCCGTTCCAAAGCTCAATCAACCGCCCGGGACTAGATGAGGACATCCTTTAAAAATACATCTTGGATCCAGTGTCGACATGGATTCTAAGCATCATCACCCCGTTGCTCCTATGTGGCTTGTGCATGGCCCCCACCGGCAGTTTTTGTTGTCTCACAAAATTGCTTTGAGTCCTACTGGAAAACTGCAGAAAACCCCATGAAACCGTTGAAGATCATTGGTTTTGGTGAAAAATATGGATATTATTGTATATTCAGGATTATTAAGGTTTCATTCAGATCATGTCTTTCCAGAAACCATCTTTGGTTAAATAACAAAAATCCGAAGTTCGTCTCCGCTGTCCGAAGAGTATCCACCAGGAGCGAAGTCGGAACGGCGTGTCGCTGATGACATCGCCACGTCGTGTCCCACAGAGTCATTTCAGGAGAAGGAAAGGGGCGGAGTGAGTGGGTGAGGCCTCGAACTCACCAGTGAGTGAGTGAGTGAAACGTGAGTTTCATTGAGTTTCAGCAGTGTTTCACTGGATGAACAGTGAAACATAGTGAAACTCACCACAGAGTTAACTTCACTCCACTCATTGACTTCACTCCGCTCCGCCCTTCCCCTCCTAAACCCCCAAACCCGCCTCTGGCCAGCACAACGCCGCCGCCCGGAACGCCGCGCCCAACACGTGACGGTCACTCTGGTGGGACCTCGAGGGTTCCGAAGCGAACAGCAGAAGTCTTCAGAGCGACACCGAGGCCCAACACCAGCGACGTCCAGCGACGTCATTGCGGGCGGAATGGAATGAAGAGTCGACGTGCAAAGCTTCTGAAAAAACTTCAGTCCGAGAAAACTTCTCTCATCTGGATGCCAGCGCTTGGTTTTGGCAAATGGGTGTCTGGTATGGAGCTCCAAAAACGCACATAACCGGTCTACAGCATTGGCAAGATGCATGTTTTCGTTCTTGATAAGGTGTTGTGAGGCCAAGCACAGCTTCTACTGGAGGATTAATTCATGTTCTTCAACAACAACCCCTGCTCCGTGCTTGTACCGTACCTGCTCCCGAACACCTGTGTTCCCGAACACTTCGGCAAACAGCCGCAGGGCGTCTTCCCATCTCTGCGCCTGGGACGAACGTCGACGAACGACGACGGAGACCTGCGGTCGGCAGTCGGGTGGCGCGGCCTGGTGAAGACTGCTCAGGGCCTCTGCGTAGGAATGCAAGGTGGGACCACCTCAGGAAGGGGAGGATCAAACATGAAACGACATAGTTCGAGTCTCCTAATTGTATTCCAGAACGTTCTCGAGGCCAAAAAGATCCAAAAAGCCAGCTAATTGGAGCTCATTTTGCTCCTTTTCGACTGTCATCCTTTTTTCATCCTTTTGCACTGGTCAGTCGAGAGGGTCAGGTGCGATGCTCCGGTCTCTCCGGTCTCTCCGGTCTCGGCACCGGGCGACCTCTCTGCATGCGATGGAAGAACTCCAGGCTACGCGACCATTCCTCGCCACGCAAGCAGGCCGCCATGGCCTCGACCGTTTTGGACGCGACGCGACTCAGTACGTGACCGTGTTCGTGAGAGCCCTCCACTGAGCGAGGTTTCCCAGGTGCGCCTGGAAGGCGCGTTCATTCATGGAATCGTTTGAAGTGGATTTGCTGGTGCCTTCTCTGATTTCGTGAGGCCCGAGGACACATTCTGACACTGAGCTGAGTCTTTTTCTGGTGTTCATGATGTCTTTCTTTGCTTGCCCAGTTCGGGACCTTCATCAGTTCATCCGTGTTCATCCCAAATATGTGGCATACCACATAGTTCGGGAGAAAATTCATGAAAGTCAGAGGAAGCAAAAAACATCACAACAAACATCAAACCAAAGACATCTGTGTTTGTAATTAGAGCATTTAGTAAAAACAGATAAGTCAACACAACCTCCGCGAGCTTGCAATTACTTGCTTAGACTTCTGATAGAGCAAGCCATGTTGGATCATCTTCTTGATGTCGGTATACACATATCCCAGACACTCCATGTATGCCATACTTACCTACTTGGGGTGGTTTGGGGGGTCAATGTATGCATATGTGTTATACATGGAGTGTCTGAGTGTAGTGAAGAAACATACTCGCACCACCCAAGGGCCAAGGCCACGCACAAAAAATCAACGCCGTAGACCGCTCAAGATTGGTGCGCTGGTGTGGGGCCAACCAACGAAGCGAAACAAACAAAACACAAACACATAACGTGTTTCTTACTACACCAGGACCCCCCCAGGGGTGGTTAATGGACACCCCTTAACAGCTAAGGGGCTATAAATAAACACCCCTTGGAGGGTCCTGGTACCTGTTATACTTTTTGTTTTTTTTTCTGCAGCTGTGTGCTTACGAACGCTTCTGTGCCCAGGTGCGGCATTCAACGTGGTGCTGTCTGCCCGGAGTCGATGGCGCTTCGCCGCCTGGGCGAGCGAATGGCAGGGCGCCGGCCAGGCCACCGTGATCCTTCGGAAAGCTCTGGGGGCCCATCTCCATCTGAAAGGGTTTTTTCAACTGACCAAAAGTATCAAATGGAATTAAATGGGCTGTTGACCGGAATTCAGCACATTTCGTTGAAGATTATTTCACCTCCAGGCAGAATGAAGTCACTGAAGAAGCATCTCAGTTCATCCGATCATTCATGGATCATTCATGATGATGCACAAATATTCGTAGCTAATTTCCACAGGGCTTGCAGAAAGGCAATTATCTCTTGCTTGCAAGAAACATTCGAACAACCGAAATCAATATCACATGGCACACGCAAAGGCCTGCAGAACAGCTAAAGCCTGCTGCCATTGGTGACCTGTGCGGAATCATCATCAATGAGCGGAGAACAAACCGAAAACCCTGAACCTGATCCCCCCTCTTTGGGACCTTCAACTGCACAAAACAGAGCATTTTCCTACTCAAAGGTCATCATGGCTATCATGGCTATAGAGATAGATTCTAAACTTCGAAATGTCCGGCATCTCCGGTGCCTTCGCCCCACGAAGCACTGGTCTTCGCGAAAGCCTTTTCCATCTCCCGCCAGGCTACGGCTCACCGTCGACCAAAAACACTCCCCCGGTGGCGGCCCACCTTTTTCGCAGGCGCTGGCCACCTTGTTTGGAGCGTCGTCACGGGTCACGAAGTCATCAAGTCATGTGCCATCTGCATATGCATTTTCTGCATCTGCACTTCCGCATCTGCACATGTATGATGGTTTCAGTCTATAGAAGACCTGAATTTGCGGGGTCTTCACCGTCTACATGGCGTAGTGAGCGGTACTTTTGCAACTTGAATTCGCCAAACATTCGGTCACGACCCGTGCTGCTTAACAGTGGTCTTTTTCGGTAACCAGCGCAAAAAAAGCACACACATCAAACCAACGAGCCCCGTGTTCACACCTGAAACCCCGAGCGAAACTCCAACAATCTTGAGGCCTTCAAATTTCCGGTGTTTTGACCCGCCAAAAACACCAAACACATTAGGCCATACGAAAAACGAACTGCATCATCATAGATTCAAAGGTAGAGTGCAGTACCCCCTTAGTTGGAATTTAAATGCATTTGGGGCGCAGGCCTGAGTCAGAAACCAGTAAATTGACTGCAAGCCCTGAGCCCATCACCATGTTCACCAAGACAATAGTTGGTGGAGGTTCCTGACACGAGCAAATCATGCAAAACTAATGCAAAACTGACATCACTCAAGACAAAGATAAAACACATTCATGACACATACATTCAATATTTGTTCAGAGCATGCAGAACGCACATCGAAAGGCTCGATATGTAGCGCGAAGACTGGGACCCCGATCGACCGCTCCGGACCGCTCAGACCAGAAACCGCGGTCCCCCAAACGATCGACCCCTTTGGCGCATGCTGATGTCGAAATGATCCGTATACCTAGAACCCAATATATGACCTTTGTTTTGATAGGAAAAAAACCATGTTTTGACATGTTTTGACACGAAACCAGGGGTCACACAGGTGATTTAAAAGCACGGCTTAGTTTCTCGATGCTGTCGGCCTTGCGACCAGACCGGCATGGTTCCCATGCAAGCAAAAACCGAGTTCTGCCTGCGCCAGGAGGTGGAGGGCCTCGACCCACAAGGCCGCCTTTTCACACCTGGGCGTGGTGTGAAAAGGAGAAGCCAGGAGAACCAAGGTAATTACTCACATTCTGCATATGATCACGGGATATGCTCAACGCGTATATATACCGCATAACTATTTATATATATATATATATATGGAGAATCTGTGGTGACATCGTGCCACATCCTGCCATGTCCAGGGATACGCCCATCGATGGCATGCTCACTCAGGCAGAGGCGCATTCAGTACTGCACCGTGAGTGACTTGATCCGGTCTCAATTGCAATGCCTGGCGATTTGGGACAAAGAACGGCAGACCTTCTCAGCGCTTGAGGAGCCCCGTTCGTTGCGTCCTTGCTCCGTTCGTAGTAAAGCCAGGAACCCCTAGTAGCGGCCCAACAATGGCATATACCAGGATACCCCGAGGGGTGCCAATTGGTGGCTACCAGGGTGTCTATTGACCACCCCAAACAGGGTCTCCTGGCATGGTCGAGTCCCTTCAGGGCATGTGTGAGATGAAAACATCTCTCACTCCCAACTCCGAAAACAACTTCGAATGGCTCACATGTCGACCACTTCAGACAGCCAAGCAGTAGGCAACGGGTTAGACAGCGTCCGCGGACGACCTGGGACGAAGTCGCCCCACCTTCATCTCCGAAAAGAGTCGCAGCGAACGCCCAGCTTGCCGACCCTGGCGTCAGTCACAAAGCCATGCTGGGATCGCTTGAGACGTTTCACACGGAAGCATCAAGCCATGTGGGTCGTGGAATTTCCCCATCTATACATCACTCTACAGAAGCTTCCACGTGGAAGCTTTTGTTCTCTTCTCACTTGCTAATCCAAGGAATCAACCAACATCAGCTGCATGAAAAACTGTCAGCCTTCGTGCATGCTGTGATGGAGGAGTTGTAAGTGACCACATCCTTCTCCTTGATGCTCTCAAACACGGCCAAAGCCTGAGAGCTCGGATCGGCGAGCGACTCTTTGGGGGCTGAACGTGCCGCACTGAACGTGCCGCGCTGAACGCGCACGGTGCACTCCAGGTCGGTCGGTTTTGGGTTCTGGAGTCCAAACACTCGATGTACGGCATCATTGAAAACGTTATTAGGGGTGGTTGAACAGGGGGTCAATGCTGGCATACATATTCCATCATTTGGAGTGTCACTCTGGGTTTTTTGTGACTTACATCCCAACCGCGCTGTGACTTCCAGTCCTCCTTCCAGGCAGATGCATTCGCACAAGCGCTGATACTTGCCTCATTGGCAAAGGCGGGCGGACGGTCCAAACCAGAGCAAATCCATCTCCTCGTTGTCGCTGTCGTAGACACTTGCAGGGGTGGATTTCCGCATTTCCCACATCCAAACGACCAGAAACCGGACATGAGTCGAAGACACTGTCGAAGACATGGTCCACCGATGGTTTTGACAGATGGTCCACCCTTTTCATCCGGCTTCCCACTCTACTGGCAACATCCGTCTAAATCTCCATCTGGCTCCCACTGTCTCCGATCTGGAAAGCCTTGCTTCTCTCCACATGAACTTCAGATTCTTTCTCCCAAGTTATGACCACAGTCAACCATCGGATCGTGACTGCCTTCGTGACTCCCATGCGAATGCGATGGGCTCTCGTCGCCGAGTCAGCGGCTGTTGCGAGGCCAGGACACATTTAAGGCCATTCGTGACAGGGACACCTGAGCGGCGCGAACCCGAGACTTGGATGGATGGTGAGACCACACTAAAGCAACCACCCAAATTGGGTGTTGAACAGAAATCAACTGGAATGCATCACAAATCATCACAAATCCCAGGTCTCTCCCACCTCAGCATCCACCAGGAGCAGTGCTCGCTGCCACTGGGTTCCTTTCCTTACCAAAACGTTCCGACGAGGTCCGTGGCGCACCATTGGGCCCAAGAGGCGCCAGCTGTGTCTAGGGAGACGCATGCGACCCTTCCTATACTCTATACTAGAGATGCATCTTGTCTACGAATCTGCAGAATGATTCAGGATCTACAAAACACTCAGAGGGGGGGTGTCAGGACTGTCTTGTCTTGTTTCTTTCACACCTCCGTCGGGCGCACTCCCGACCGATCGACGCGGCGTCAGCGGCCGAGGAGCTCGAAGGCGCTCAGCAGGGAGTTCCAGCTGACCTCATCGGCCTGAAGCTCCTCGAAGCGGGCGGTCTGTGGCAACAGCAGCCTGTGCCCCACTCGATGTATTTTCAAATGTTTCAAAAGGAACATGTACACAGTACACACATCAACAGTTTGCAAAGTAAAAAGAACAGCAGTCGCCTTCTTGATAAGTTTGTTCCAAGGTGATTGATGAGTGACAAAGTGTACACGATTCTGACACGATTGCTTCGGGTTTTTGGACACCACACACGTCAAGTTGCATCTATACGAGGTTGGACCTCTTATCTGTGAGGAAATGCGTTTCTTTAAAATATATAACATCTGTGATATAATCTGTGGATGACAATTATTGATGCTCCACGTATGCGTCTTCGCCAAGCATGTATGCGTCTTCGCCAAACTCCTTCTGGGACATTTCCATCAACAAGCTCATGGACATCATCCATTGTCGACCTTTGCCACACCTCAGTCGCCACTGCTTTCTCGCCGTTTGTCCCAAAGGATCGGAGGAATGGGAGCCAAGGAATACGACGTATAGTATAGGCTGTCAAGTAATTCATGTAAGTAGGGATGGTTGAAAAGGGACCGATGTGTATTTTCAGCTGCATGGAGCGTCTGTCTTTGTAGGTTGTTTCACATCATTGCTTACTGTCACCCTAACAATCCTGTGTATGGACTAGTTGCCTAGTAGATGCATTGGGGTGATTCAAGGATGGTTCAAGGGTCAATGTATGTAGTATATAGATACTCCGTACATGGATGGTCTGGTTACCATGTTTCACACACGTGAGCCATGCCCTCAATCACCACCAAACACCCACTCGCGAGAAACAAACACATGCAAAACATGCAGAGTTGGCCTGCCGTCAAAGTGATCCCTTTTGGATGTGTAGCTTCCGAACCCGGGAGCCATTAAGCACGCAGCAAGATCCTGTTTGTTGGGGGGGGAAGATGCACATCCGCCACATCTCTCCCACGCGTCCCCCGCGCCCGGTTCCAACCCGCTCGGGCCACCGGGCGCGCTGATCACCGAGTTGGTGGCCGGAACGCTGCGTCGCTCGGCGCGCAGCGTTCCAAGGCCCTGCCCCGGTCGCGTCCGCACGGCGGTCCGCACAGTGGTCCGCACGGCCGATCGGTCCGGTCGTGTCGATGTCGACAACTATAGATAGCTGACCCCAGGCCAAACAGGTGCTAAGGACTTACTAAGGACCCTATAAGAGGCTATAGACATCCACATCTCGACTCCGGGGTCCGAAACCGAAGTCCAGTTCGATTCGCAAAGGCACCCTGCTCGTGTTGCAGGAATGTTCCTTTTCACTCGGATCACCGTTCGTCAGACCGTTTAAAAAATTGATCGACTGAACTCCCAGGGGAAATATATGGTTTAAAAGCCTCTCTTGGTCACTGGAGATTAACTGTAATTCAACATGATTCAACATGTTAACCAAGTCGAGCTACAGTACCAAATTAGTTCTTCGGTCAACGCCTATAGGAAACAACATTTAAACAACACATGGCTATTGGCTAAGAATCTCCGGATGGCTTAGTCACATATCGGAACTCCCAGCTGAGCGTTTGAGAACGCCTCAGCTGAAGCCTCGAACACCGACCGATGTGGGACCAATGCGTTTGTTCCGCCGGTCTCGAGGCCCTTCTCACCTGGAGAAGCTCCAGGGCGCACCTTGGAGCGCCCGGACACTCCACCCCGCATTGACCTGACTGAGGTGTTGACCCACTGGTGGACCAGCCTAAGGCACCAACTGGTGCACCACATCGAGGCGTATTGGAGAGCGTTTTGGAGACCGTTGGGTGGATTTGGGTTTGGTCAACCAGAAACAAAACCATGACGTTAAAGACAGGTTACCTCAGTAAGGAATCTAAAAAAACACCCCTTGTGTTTGGTCCAACATGTTCCAAAGATCCTTCCAGATCGCATCCCTTTTTGGCACGTGGCGATTGGTCGGGACACGGAGCAGCGAGTTCGCCGGAAACGCGCGCGGGGTTTCCCGCGCGCAGCCGCATGTGTCGCGCAGCTTGTGGCGAACACGGAGCCGAGTGGAAGAGAGTGGCGAAACTGGACTCTCTGCAACGTTCGGTGCCCTTCCATTAATACCGAAGTGTCGCTGGACGGCTTTGAAAAAGGGGAAGACAAAGCCAGCTTGCCAAGATAGAAACACAGAGTTCCCCAACTAGATCCAAATAGCTTGGCCCCAATGCCCCAAAACAAGAGAGTATGTAATATGTAAACTCAAAGTTGGGTAGTCGGAGAGCCCGAGGAATTGCAAAGCTGTCATCCGGGTCTCACTTCGTCTAAGTCTATTTTTAGTCTTAGCTGCAATGTGTTCGACTGCCTGATATCACCTGGTTTGCTCTGAGCTTAAGCTTGACGTTCAGAATCGAACACGTCGCCCTCTTCGATTCGCTTTTTGAATTGGTCGACCTGGGGCGTTCAGACCTCAGTGATGTGGCTCTTGGGTTCCACCAGAGTCACTTCCAGGTGGTGCAAAACCATCTCACCTAGCGACGGGGGGCTGTCGGTTTTAGGCGGAGAGGGAGTGATGAGTGGAAGAGGTCTGAGTGCTGTGATGACGAACCTTTGAATGGTGCATGTAGTGAAATAGGAGTCCTTGGGAGATGATTCAATTCTAAGCACAGTCACTGCACTCCATGCGAAACATCAATCGAAAGAATCGAATCGATAATCAACAAAGACAACCCCTTCTCAAGAATGATAGGGTTACCCAACACAACATATTGTACAACAATCGCTTGTCCCCTTAAGACAAACCAATGAATCACTCCGCAAAAAGAATCTTCCGATGTCACAACTATAGGGTCTGAAAGAAAGTCAATTCACATAAACTATTGATTCTTTCCCCAGCATCTACTAAAAAATGACTATATAAAACCAATTCAATTCAGAATTCATGTATGTTTTCTTTCTCAGACATTTTGGATGTGGTAAAAACCCTGGAGACGACACCAAAGCCACGCGTCATCGTCTGGCCTTGCGGGCCTTGGATGCGCTGGTTCAAGCGATGTTCGTCCGCTTGTTTATCTGGCCCATCGAATCGCCGCGGTCGGACGAGAATCACGTCGTGACCGTCACGGATGGTTTGGACCTAAAACATGTGCCGGTCGAGGTGCTTTTTTTTGGTGCGGGTGTCACACCAAATATGATAGTCATAGACTTCCAAAACAGTGGCAAGCAGAACAGCAATGGCCTCCAACCAAAACAGCAATGGCCTCCAACCAAAACAGCAATGGCCAACAAAAACAACAGAACCCTTAGAAAAGACCATGGAACCGCCACCTCCCCAACGAAGACTCGCGCCTACTACAATGGTATGCATCAGCATCATCAGCTGCTCGAAGTGCTTCTTGCTTCGCAAGTGGCTTGAGAGCTCCCGCACGAACACCGAGTCTTCACAAATGGAGCAAGTGAGTTTTGCCTCCAAAGAGTCTGTCGGAACTGCCATGAAGAAGATGGGTGAAGGAAAAAAAACGTGGACGAAACTGTCCAAGAAGAGAAGGGGTTTGTAGACACGATAGTGACTCTCTTATATAACGATTACTATTATTTACTATTAATATTGAAATCAACAATTATTGTGGCATTCTGACAGTGACATTGTGATATGACAGTGACCAGTACATCCAAGAAACTTCTGCATCCAGCACCGCCAATTGTTGCTCCAGTATACGGACCTTTGCCAGTGATGCCCGGTCCTTGCACCAGAAGATCTGGTAGCTCGCCTCCGACACGATCACGGGGTCCGGACTGCAGGCGCGCACCGAGTACTCCGAGAACTCGTCCCAGTCGCGCTGTACCGCCGTGGCGGACGTGGGAGGGACGGGGCCGAAGGTCACGGGGAGGCCGGATGGATGGATGTATTCACCGGTGCCGGCACCAGCGCCATGGTCGAAGCAAGGTGAATGGAACTGCGACTGTGGCATGTCTGGCACAGGGTGAGCAGGCTGAGGCATGGGTACGGGCTGACACGAAGGCTGGACCAGTGGTTGAGTTTCTGAAGTCCGTGGAGCTGCAGTCTGCTGAACCAAGGTAGGGGAACCCACGAACTGCGACTGTGGCATGCCTCGCACAGGTTGCTGAGTAGGCTGAGACGGCTGAACCGGTAGCTGAGCTTCAGTCCACATAGCTGGCGGCTGCTGTGCCTGGGTTGGCCTTTGCGGGAGAGGGGCTTGTTGCTCAGCACGCGGCCACTGAGCTCCAGCTTGGCTCTGTGTCGCTGCTTGCGTCTGGTCTCGCACGAGTGGCTGACACGGAGCTGCTTTTGGCTGAGCTGAGCTCTGCTGTGCTGGAGCTTCTGGTGTTGGCTCCGGAGAGGACCGTTGTGAGCACCTGGCCACCTCAATCGCCCCGTCCAGCTCGTTGATGCGGATGAAACCATTGGGTATCTGCACCTCGTTCCATAAGCGCTCCCGCACCGTTGCCACGCAAACTCCATCTGGCACATAGTCCTTGCTGAGCTTGCCATAGTGTGCGCCCGCACCCAAATGCTCTCCATATCCACGCGCCGCCGTGCAAATCTGGCAGGTCACTTCAATGCGAGCCGCTTCATAGACGTAATTCGCAAAGGCGTTGGCCCTATCAGTCATCCTTTCTTTGAAGATCTTCTTCGATGACAAATGTCCATAGGCCTGCCAGTCTCCATTGGGCTTGGTGCACATGCTGCAAGGCTCGTAGATGCAATGCCAACGACCTTCCTCTTGTAGGGTGAGAGGATCTAAGCTCTTGCTCTTCACACTCACTGACGTTGTTGGATGATCCAACTCCTGAGGTCTTCCATCACTTCCAGTCACCGGTTGGTAGTTTGCCCAGGCATTCACGGGCGCCACGGGCGCCGCCACGGGCGCCGCTTGGGGCGCTGTGGGTTGGGGCGCCGCGGGTTGGGCGTTTGCAGCAGGTGCTGCTTTGAAGACCCGCACTTCGCCGAGCAACTCATTGAAGGCGATTTCGCCACCTGAAAGAGAAAAACATGTTCTTTCGTGGGAGGAGATATATATAAGGTCATGATTCTAGATCCTTGGCCACCTGATGCCCCCCCTGTTGGATCTCATGAAGTACTTACTAGAAACTACAACATAGCACCTGAATGTGCAATGTGTATACAATTGTAATATCCACCACCAACTGATCACACCACCAACTTCACTCTTTTGTCTTTAAAGACTTTCCCCAGTGGCGATGTCGCTTGTGTCCGTCCCCGTCCACTGTAGAACAACAATGGTTCAACGTGAAACAAACGAGGCGTTTGGGGGTCCTCTCCGGTTGCCGCTGCCTGGAACTGGAAAACGATGCCAGTAGCGATGGAGGATGCTCTCGATGACCGTCTGCTCGCCGATTTCGCCCAGCTTTTGCCAGTGCTTCGGTCCACCGAGGTCGGCGCTGTAGCCAACTGCAATGGATCACAGAAAGGATCAGTACTTTAAGAGAATGATAATGAGAAGGACAGAACAAATCCCAGCTTGGAAGAAAGTCTTCCAACATCTTCTAGCATCAAATATATAGTCTATCAGCAGTTTAGATTATACCATCGGCACCACCGGGGCACCACCCCTGGTGCAAAACAATGTTTTTTTGTTGAAAAACGGGGTTTATATATCACAACCTTCTTTTTGAGAGGACTTTGTACTGCTGAATGCAACCATGATTTGTAGCGGCTGAGCACTGGATTTGAGCATGTGTGTTTCACCCAGCAAGGCAGAACTACTTGCCGGGTCGATGGCTTTCTAATGCTAGCTAAGTTTGACGTAGACATATATAAGTACTTAGGACCGACTGAGTGTGGACTTGGCTAAGGAAGACTTAGCTTCGATTTAGGGTTGACTCAGGCTGAATCGTGGTTGAACTTAGGTTGGGCTGTCCGAGCAGAACCCCAAAAAGTCTAAGCCAAGTCTTCTGACGTTTTTTTCTTAATTTTGAAAGGAACATGCGAAAGACATTGTTTGACCATGTTTGACAGTTTTTTCACTTCACTTTAGTCTTACAGGGGATATGCGCCAGACAATTCTTTGAATGGTTTCCTGTCATTTTAGTCTTTAACTCTTTTTTTCTAGGACTTAGCTTAGACTAAGCCTGGACTTAGGTCAGACTGAGTTTCGACTGACCAAGTCCGAGCTAAGGCCAAGTTTGCCTTATTTGACTTAACTTTGACTTAGTTGAGTCAGACCTAAGCAAATTACAAACATCTATGGAGTTAACTCAGTCCAAGATAAATCAAACCTAACATCTATAGAGGGTGAGAGACTAAAAACAAGGGTTGCTGTAGTAGGTTAGCAGGTTTATGACATAATTATATTATATATGCTATATATATATATATAGAGAGAGGCTGTAAGTCCAAGATGACGATATACCCGGCAAGTAGAATGATTGAAGCTGCAGCACAAAGCTAATGACCATACTTTTCCAGGAACACATCCGCAATGAGGTGGAAATGCAGGAGGAACATGGAGGAACCATGTGGAACAATACCTCCGTCCGTGGGAATGTCAATCTTTGGATCCCAGATCGTTGGAGGGGTCACCGGGGTCACCCAATGCAAAAAGACTTGTCAGACCACACGTTGGCATTGTTTGCAATTAATGTGTTGCGGACATTTTTTTTGCGCTGGGACAGGCCAGCAGTTGGAAATCCGGGTTTTGAACCGTAGGCGACCCGTAGAATTAACCGTAGCCGTAGACATCCTATAGAAACCCCGTAGAAACCCGTAGAAAAGTATGCAATTTGGCCGTAGTTTTGGAAGTCCTGGGATGTTGGGTTTTGAATGGTTTTTGAAAGCTCTTGGCCTGATCCGAGCGTTCCTGACTGCAGCCCGAGAGAGGGGTGCTTGCTGGGCCCATGGCTACCTAAGTGTAGCATAGTCTAGCTAAGTCTAAGGTAGGCATATATAAGCACTTAGGAGTGATTTAGCGTGGACTTATCTAAGGTAATTAGCTTTGATTTAGTTTTGACCCAGGCTGAACTTACTAAGCCTAAACAAGTCCAATCTTCGCCTAAGCAAAGTCTAAGCGTAGCCTAAGCGGAGTCTTCTGACAGTCAGTTTTGTCTTAATCTTAAAGGGAATAAGCGTGTGAGAAGAAATGTCTGACAGTTGTTCCCTTTATATACTTCAGCCTTGAAAAAGGTAATATGTGTTATCGTCAACTTTTCCGACAAATTGGCCAGGACTTAGCTTGGACTTAGTTTGGGCTCAGTTTGACACTTAGGTTGGACATGGGTTGGACTTACTATCTCCAAACTAAGTCCGAGTAAGTCTTATGTGACTTAGTTTTGACATACTAAACGAGACCTAAGCACTTACTATAACCAAAGGTACCCTAAATCAAACCTAGCCTTTACAGAGGTCAAGACACTCAAAACAAGAGTGACCACACAAAGAAACTTATTGATACTTCAGAAGACTTATAAGCTATAACGGGTTCTAAGTCCAAGTTAGCGAAATAATACATCCTGCGTGTGAACAAAGCCTTAATTAAGACCTTCAAAGGTTGTGATGATTCCAGTGCTGTGTTCGCATCAGCAAATGGCCACTTCCAACAGCTACAGTTGCGCCGGTTGCTTTCTTCAGCGATGATGTATTTGAATGCTACATACAACTACATGCGTTAAGCTGTGGCTTGTCGTTTTCTGCGCGGATGATGCGTGGAAGGGTGTTGAGTTGGGAACCAAGGTCTCCTGTATCCATGTAAAAACTTGCACGGAAATCATTGTCCAAAAACCGGGTTTTCAATCCACAACCCTAAAAAAACAGGTCGTAAGATAAAACCTTTCTTTTTCATGGTGTTGAGGGCTCATTGTAGAAACCTCTCAAAAACCGTCTCCCACGTCATTCCAAACGATCAAACCTGCCACATGGACCGAACCTACCGACACTCACGACCACTCACTCCGCACCACCCATCCGCATAAAGAACCTGATGGATGGACTTCCCCCCAATTCGCGCGCTCGAAGCGCTAGCCGCGCCGGTTCTGCGGCCGCCTCCCGTCGTGCAGATGAGGCAGCGCGGATCCTGGCCCAGCGACCGCAAGCGCTCCTCCAGCGGCGACGCGCGCGCCCGGATGCTCTCGCTGAAGAGCCGCCTGGACTCGACGGAGCCGGAGGCGGAGGCGGGTGGGCGAAAGGAAAAAGAGTTCGTTCAGCGCCGTCACAGTGGTGACGTATGGGCGAGATATATTGAGATATGGCAAGTTTAGATTTCATATTGGAGTAATAGAATGCATGACATATTGATATAAAATAGTTAATGATATAATATCTCCTGCACCACCTTTACTTGAGCCGACCTCTTAGGAGGGATTTGGGGGATGTGGCAACGATGTGTTGTTCAAAGGCGCCCGCACAACCACGTGTGTCTTTTTGAAGGATTCTTTCGTTACGGTGTTGCATGCCAACTACATCGGTGTCATAAGCCACCTACATTGACCCCTCAAAGCATCTGGAAACAAAACAACTCTTCCCGTGCCATCCATTCTTTGGGATTTGAGGCGGCCAGATGAATCGACGAATGACGAAACACGGACGGATCTGGGAAAATTATCCCGGGAAAGCTTAGGGATTCAGCAAATACTTCTATAGCTTGAGGTGAAATGTTGCTCCCATCAAGTCCAGCAAATACCTCTAGAACCACACTGAGATCTCATCACCCACAGCTGGGACACATAGAATCATACAGACTTAATTGTGAGATATATAATGAAATCATGAAACGTTTCTGGACAATCAAGGTGGAACAACATCAATCCAAATACCTCTCCATTCATCACTTCATCATACTTCACCCGTTTCCCGCCAGCACCGCCCCGCACCCCACCACATTACATCGACGGAGCCGATGAATCATCGCTTCCGATCCGCGCGAAAGCGCTGACCCGTTGTTGCCTAGAGCTCAAATGTGGATACTCTTTCCAGGTGCCTCGTGCGGAGTCTCCGACCATCGGGCCGAGGGAAGAATGGGTGAAGCAACAGGTCCGATTCAGAGATATCGATATACACTTTACCTGATATCTGCAGAGTCATCGAAATTCAGAAAGTTCATCCGTTTTTGACCCAAGGCTTCAGCGAATTCCACGCCACGCCTCCAGGCACGATGGCGCTAAAGGGTGGGGCGACGCAGGTCCAGCCCTCTGGCATTTGAGCATCGCAGGGGTCCAAAAGCTTCGTATCCATGGCGCGAGGCGCGAGGCCAGAGCGAGGCCGGACCAGTGTCGTTTGGGAGGAGAGTTTCTCATAGCATCGCATATAGCTGTGCTTTCCTTTGTATGGTGTGTCTTCTTGTTTTGAGATGACTCGCTGTTTCCGAAAGGAAGTAGGTTCCGTTTTTGGTGGAAACAGCTTTAAAGTCCTCAACAAGAATGGATCTTAGCAAACCCAAACTTCGGATGTATATGAAAGATATTGGCATGTTCAGAACATTTTGTTGGGTGGTTCAATGTAATAAAAGGTTGGTGAATCACGGATTTCATGAGGCACCTGCAATGCGTTCGATTCTTCCCATGAGTTGCCTCCGGTTTTAAACCAAAAGCTGGGCTGCCTTGAGCCACCAGCTTCAGGAAGTGGACCATTCGTTGGCTCAAAGGGCGAGCAAATCCATTCACTTCGAACAACTCACCCAAGTTCGCAGCAACAACTATCCCGTTTGGGCTCCAGTCGTACCTTCGTTGCGGTTGGGTGGGACTGGGGTGGGTGCCATGTTCGGGTCCAGTCATACCGAACCTGAGGAGGTACGACTGGAGCCCTATAGGGCCCCAGGGTCATGTCGACCTGCGGCGAACATCTCACCCATCAACCGTCCATCACACGTGGTCACCGTCCTCGGCTTCAACTCGGAGGTGTCCGTCTCGAAGAGACGTCGGTGTGAAAAACCACCGGTGCTGTCAGCGAAAAAACAAAAACACACACACACACACACCCTGAGACTGGAGCCTCCATGCAGTGGCCTTCTCACAGGCAAAGATCGCCAGCTTCCGACCTCGACATCGGCCCGATTCGGAACTCGTTCGGCGCCTGCCGCGGAGAAAGCAGGGCGCCGGGGCCGGAAGTGGAGAACGAAGTTCGAGGCGGAAAGGGGAAACGACATGGGACGCAAGACATGGAAAGACCCACGACACACGATTATCACATCACAACCCAAACACGACCTGTCTGGCGCTTGCCATAGGACTGCCGATGAGTTGGGGTGGTGCCAGAGGGTCAATGGAACGGCAGTCGCTGGCTGGCGGTCCCAAACAGGTCGTGTCTGGTTCGTGTGTTGGGCATCCATCCGCTTTTGGGGCTTCGGAACCCAAAAGGGGCAGCACCGCACCGCATCCGGCTACGTTTGCACTATATGGTCACAAGGGCGGCTTGATCTGTGTTCCAGTCAACGAGAACTTGGTTGGACTTGGGAAACAACTCCTAGACTTCGGGTTCGAGGCTGAAGAGTGTTTTAAATTGTTTTAAACCATGTTAGATCATGTATTTTATAGTGAAACTTGCAGTTCCTCTTAGACCTCTCAGCTGGCATCATCTTTTGCAGCCTAATATAATATAGAACTGGCATTCGAGCATACACCTTCAACATCCTTACACACTCCCAAGATCTCCCAAGGTTGTGCAAAACAATTGGCATCAAGGATGTAGTCTAGTGAGCTCCACCTCACCCTGATTCCGGCCTTCTTCGTGAGGAAGGGATCGTTCAGTGAGCTCCTGACATCTGACTTTGCGTAAAAACCAACGACGGACAACAGAGCGCTCGGACGGAGGCGCTCTGTAGAGACGCGAGAACTTGCCAGGTGGGCGCCACAAAACGCTCGGGACAACGAACGTGGGAGACACGATTTGCCACGGGGCGGAGCAGTCACTGCTCCTGCAACAGCTGCAACGCCCAGATCCACTTCATCGCCTCCAGTCCGGCGGGAAAGGCTGGGTGGTCGGGGTGGTTCGTTGGTGTCCCCGCCATGGCGTGGCCCTTTCAGCTCAACATGAGCGGTTCGGTGTCACGTGCACTGGGCGCTGGACCTTGCCACAGGCTGTGATGCAAACCTTACCCGTTGGCGGTGGACTCGAATCCTATTCTCTAAACGCAGATCCCCAAATCCTCGTTAGTAGACCGTGCTACGAGTATCACAGGTCTGCAGGTCTGAGATGTCCAGAACGGCCACTCAAAATCTTCTGACCAAAAGTTCAATCCAGCAGTCACAAAGGGGTGTCGTTTAGTCCCTATAAGTATAAGTGAGTGCATGGAAAATGGGCACCCCTAACCTCCATGAACATCTTCTTGGAACCCTTGTTTTTCGGCCAAAACTGCCGAAGTGTCCACGAAAATCCCCTTGCGCCGGGCGACCGCGCTCCGAAGAGGATCTCATCGAGGTCGCTTCCGCTTGAGACGAGCCTCGGGAGACGAAGAGGCTCCGTCTCTCGACAGGTCGGTCAATGGATGAGGCCGCCCTCGGGTGGTACAGCCGGTGCGAACAAATGGTCGGTGGATGATCAAAGGGAAGTTGATTGAATGTCATGGGGGATACAAGTTTTGTTCTGTTTTTTGAAGGTGGGACACACAAAAGCCAGGTGCACCCGCTCTTTGGCCAGCTCTGCCAATGCCAAATGCCACAGAGATGCCTCGCAACAGACCACGGACCCCATTAGGAGCATGTTTGGATGTGGGTCCGTTTATCCCAATTGGTCCAACTACATTCCATGCAAATCTTTGGATGAACAGCAGCTGTGCTGTACATGAAATCGCTGCTCTGCCTCCCTCTGTCTCTGTCTCCTTTTCTACAAGTGCTCTCAATCAATGTGCAACTCTGCCCTAGATTGTGATAGAACAACAAAATCTGCTTTAGCAGCTTCAGGTTGCACCTCGTTGTATGCTTTCATGCAGGTGCTCAGCCTAGGGGCGGGAAGAAGGCAGCTCCAATCGGACGAAGGAAGAACATGATGTGCACTTTCTTCGCGTGTCTGTTGTTGATGAACGACACTTCCAGGGTCTTCCAGGGCATTCGTCGTTGTCTTCGACTTTCATGACAACAGTTGCTTCATGTTGCTTCAATTGTCACACTGATCCCACCAACTCCTAATCCCACCTTCACGCAATGGAACGAACCAGCGCTGCATTTCGTTCGCACCATGGGAAAGCACTAAGTTCCGGTCACGTATTTGTTGGTCTGCACCTGGAGTGGCCGCACAAACCAGCTCTGGTCTCAAGTGGTTGGTTTCTTGCACGCCAGCTCGGGAGATCACAGCAAACCAACCATTTTGCAAACACATGGATGAACAGAACAGCATTGAAGCCTTGGATCCTGTACCACTGGACAAGTCCAACTTTGAACCATGGGCCGGTCCATATCCCCAATAAGTCTGTATGAACTGTGATGAACGAACTGTGTTTCAGCGTCGGTCTGCAGGTTTGCAGAGAATATATATATATATTAGATATATCATCCACCAAACTTTCATCTATGACGCCGGTTGTGTGTCAGCCTCAGCCCTCCTGCAGCACTGATGGGACATGATGGGACAGTAGATCTGAGTATTCTGAGTGGAGATCTGCTTTTTTAACTAGATGTATCTCTCGAGCCGTGTCTCATGATTCTCATATATGGCGCTTCCCGCTTCCGGTGCGGATCTCGTGGTTGACCTTTGAGCCTTGGGACCCAAACACCAAAACACGAATGGGGTGATCCCGTTTGGGATCCAGTCGTACCGAACCTCAGGTCTGGTACAACTCTGGCACCTACATTACAGCGTCGATCGAACACATCACCTTCTAAAAGGGTATGTGGATCCCTAATACCCAGACGCGACCTGTCTGGGACTACCATAGAACTGCCGCCCCAAACAAATCCCTTAAAACAAACAACCACCCCAACGGCCGTTTCTCGGCAGTCCTGGCTGGCAGTCCCAGACAGCGTTGCGTCTGGGGGGGGTCTGGAAACACTCCAAGTCTCCCCGGTGACTTCCATCCACCGTCCGACGTCCTGGTGCGCTTCCATCTGCGCGAAGAGATCCAAGGCCAGAGCCTCAACGCCGCAACGTGCCGTCGGAGACAAAACCATCCGGCAAGGTGAGCGGCAAATGATGAGAGAGTTCGGGACAAAAGGGAGACCAAAACCGTAGCAAAGATGACTTACCTGGACTTACCTATCATATTGTACACTATGATATTAGTAGCAGCATGGCAAGGTAGGTCCCGAAACCAGCCAGCTTCGGGTCTTCAGACCCCCAACGTGACACCCCCGGTTCTCGGTCCGGGCTCCCGCGCCCACTTCCGGGCCGCCACCTCGGTGGAGCGAAGCCATCAGACTTCGGATGCTTCGCTTGAGCTCCGCTCTCGACTTTCGAAGCTGGAAGATCGGGGCCGTCGAATGCCGTGAGCCGGCACATGTCCTGAAAAAAAAATCGGAGGTCGATCCTCCGAAGTATCTGAAGACAGGAATGAACTCCATCAAGTCTTCGAATCCTCAGAAGACTGACCCCTCCCGCCAACCGATGTGCCCACACTCGACCCATATCGACCAACAAACCAACAGACCCATCCCGATCGACCAACAAACAAGGCATCCAGAAACCCAATGTGACCAGGTCACGCATGCGTTCATCGTGGCGGTGAAGACAAAGGCATCGCTGCGATCGGCGGAGGGACCCTGGACGAAGGGGGGGGCGAAAAAAACTTGTGAGAGGTTTCAACATGGTTTCAACATCACGATATAGACCAACTATATATAGCACAAAGGCCTGCGGCCTGCCCAAAGGAAAAACAGTACGGCACCGCTGTGACGTGACGGCCTCTGCAAAAAGGCTCAACGAAGCTTCCCACCTTGTTGGCATGGCAGAGTGGGCGAGGAAAGCCATGGGCAGTTTTCGCTTTGCACACCAGCATGTAAGATTGCACTGGACCTGGTGTCTTCTGCGATCTGCGGTGCCCATGGTAATGTCCGTGGTCTTCCGCTTTGGAAACACAATTGCAACGATATTGAACATCTTCTTTAAGAGCTTGATGTTCCCCAGGGATTTGTTCAAGGCCATCACAGGTTGGAGGCCATGGCTAGTAGGTTGGAGGTCATCGCTCTTACTATAGCTAAACAAGTAGCTAACAAGACATGATCTTCCCAGGCTTCCACCTTTAAGGCCTCCACTGCTTCAGGCGCGCAGCTTCCTTGATGCGCTTGGTCAAAAGCCTCCGCTCGTCGTGTGTGACCAAGACAAGATCATGTCTCGTGGCAAAAGCACAAGATTCCAACCAAATCACCATCCCACTATGATCATCACTTCATTTCTCCCGGGATGTTGTGCTATTCTCCGCTCCGCGGTTTTCCAACGAAAAGCACGTTCCGTCGCTGGGCGCGTGCCTGGAGGCCATGGGAGGCCATGCTTCCGCAGCACACGTGGCACATGGCGTCGATGGACACAAGACCCGTCGATCGCCCCCCGATGGGGGAAGCCTCGGACTCTGCACTGCAAGGTATACCGGTGGTACTAGGTGTTATCCATTCAATCTAGTTGAAGCCAAATGAGCCAGGAAACACTTTGGAAAAAAGCAGACTCTTTCTGATTCTTATGTTCATGAATTAATCAATTCCGAGACAGAGACACCTTTAAAAGGCATTCTATTGGAGTCAGTCATGTGGTTAATGATGGTGAACGTGAAAAATGTGACAAGGCGCAGGACTGGCCCGCCGAGCCCAACTGTTTGCTGTTCGGACATGTCGACTTCGACTGGAGCCACGCGCTCGTCTCGCGGATCACAAGATCGTCTCGAGCACGGTGATCGTCTCGATCTTTGAGGCGTTGGCACTCAAGCTGTGAAGGCAAGGACAAATGCAGGCCCATCTCACGTCATGTGGCATGATTGCCCATTTTTGGTGTTTCATTTGCCAGGTGCTTTTGTTGTCTTTGAACCCCAAATGTTCTCCCCACCGTGCCTCCCAAGCCGCTGGGACAACTGGGGTGCATAAACTTCCAAGTACCTCTCCGCAGGAACACCGAGCCCGCTTGACTCCATGATCCGCGGTCGGTCTAACTGAGGCGGGATGAATCTGTGAGGAGATACTAAGCTCTAGGGCTCCACCTTCTAAGAAGGTGGGACTGGGGTGGGTTTAGAGGGTCCAAATACCTTCTGAGGAGGTACTTGGAGCCCTAGGGAAGATGAAATCCCATTCAAAAAAAGGCGTTTGGAAGGTCGTTCGCAGATGCTTGTATACGGGGTAACGACACCCATACAGAATAACAGGATACCGACTTTGACATTTGATTCAGGGCACGATCAACGAGGTTGTCCAAACATGTCAATGTTCACACATGTTAAAGCAATTATTCCACAGCCCAGGCAAATTAGGAATCTGTTTGTTCATGTTTTTTTCCTTCATTGATATCAACTCGATGATACATCTTCCGGACGTCATCCCAAAAAAAAAACGTGTCCCAAAACGTTTGCTGATGTTGCTTCTCACGTCTCACCTCTCCACTTCTGCGTAGCTCGTGTCAAGGTCGTGTCATCTGTCGTCGGGCACTTGGCCAAAACGATGCCACCATCCCAGATCCTTAAGCCAGTCGCCAGCTTGGCCCTCAGAGCGATGTCAAAGATACACTCACGGGAACCCTGTTCCCTGTTCCAGGAACCCCACAGAAAACGCCATAAAACGCCAAATCGTCTGCCGCATGTTGTTCGCCCAAATCATCTGCCCGTTTGGGCTCCAGTCGTACCTCCTCGGGTAGGGTATGAGACCCGAACATGACACCCACCCCAGTCCCACCCAACCGCAACGAAGGTACGACTGGAGCCCAAATGGGATCCAAAAGGGCTGAGTCATCTGAGTCCTCCGAACTTCCAAGGGACACACACTGGACCGAAAGCAGCCGCGAAGCGCGACCGGACCGGCTCGGTCGTCCGGACGCGTTGGGCGGATCCACCGTCAACAGCAAAGGCCTCGGACAGGGGCGGTCCGCGGCGGGGCCCCGTTCGGTGCGCGTCCGATCGCCCCGGACTCGGTGAAGACGATGCCCCTTTGTTACGAACGTAGCGTCCTCTTGTTCCTGTTTATGCCAGGTCCAAAAAGCCGAACACTCATGAAAACTCCCTGTGCGATGAGAGAAGGGACTGCAGGACGCATCTATTCAGGAACAAAAAAGGCAAAAAGACATGGCAATATAGCGATTCATTATGAATCGACTGCTCTTCCAGTGCCAGAATGCAAGCCACCAACCGGGCCGACCATGCCCCAAGAACAACGAAGATCCTTCTCACGTGCCCTCATCCAACCGGAGCGACCTGCCGTTGATCTTGAAGTCACCCTTGAAGTTATACATCAGCATAAAGGACTGCAGAACGACAGCAGAACGGGCCGACTCTGAGACTCCTGGTCATTGAAATGACCTCGCTAAACACGAAGAACTTTATGCTTTCGAAACAACTTCAAGACTTGGTCCCGGAACGACTTGGGGGTTGAAGCAAACCTTACACATAGCATAGTGCAGTATGGTCGTAGCTATCATGTTGCGCACATTCCCTGTTCTACTCTGCAGCTGTGGAACACTCCTGGAAGTGTTCACCAAAAAAAGGAACGAAGCAAAGGATGCTCCAATAGCCTTTGGATTCATGAACTGCCGTCTTGTGGTCGTCGAAGATGTCCCTTGAGAAACACCTCCTCCGCCTGGTGCCGAACTTGTGCTGCACCCGCGCTTGGGCGACATGCGTGAAGGTCTTCTTGTGTGCATATCTGGTGTCATGTTGTGAAGTTTGTGTGACAGGTACAATGAATGTAAAGTAGACCTATGGCATGATCAAAAACACTCTTATAACATATACTTCCAATGTACTTCTAATGACTTCTACAAACACTATCGTTTTCTGAGTGAACCAAAGCACCGTCGAAGCTTGCCTGGCATGTTTGCGCCACTTGCGGCACTCGGAAGTGGAGCGCACTGCACCGGCCTGGCAAGACTGGCACCTCCAAGTCTGGACAGGAATTCGAACGATGATTTCTGGGCTTCTGAAGAAAAGGAGCATAAGTATATAAGGTACAATAATCAAGTATACAATTTATATAATACAGAAGCCTCGAGGTATAATAAGGATACTAATTGAGGCATAATACCACTTATAGGTGTTCAAGGAATCCTCGACAGGCTGTCACTCTGTGTAGATCTCGGGGATTTGGCTGAAATGCTTTCCTTTTTGCCAGGTGTTTTGCACTGCTTTTCCTGTGTGCATTGCCCAAGTGGACAAGTGGATTTCTCAGCTTGTTTTACACAAGCTCATGACAAGCATAAAGGGGAACATGCACATCTTTGAGATTGAAATGCCCGGTTCTCCTTTCCAGCTCCTGTAAGCCCATTGTAGCCGGAAGACTTGGAGGAAACACTCGGAGCTGTGCACCCCAAGTAAAGACCGATCAGTTGTCGGATCGAAGTTGGACAGCTGGAGTGCAACTCAGTGCTCTCTGAAGATCTCTCTAAAGTACCTTGTTCATCCAAGACATGTGATAACAAATTGATCTATAACTAATAGACCTGGAAACCCAAACAAGCAAAACACAGATGGCATGGATACTTCCCCAAACAACCGACTTGTTATGTCCAGGATCTCAACTGCCATAATAATATTGGAATCTATTGGAACAACCATTTGTTTCTGGTTGTTTGGGTTTCCATGTCAATCAAAGTCAATTCAAATCGATCTAATCTTATAACATCTGTAGGATGTTGATGGTCGCTGCTGATCGGCTGCCGCCTTGCGCTGTAGGTCGGCTGGCTGAAGGAGGGCTGGCCCTCGATCCAAGAAAATAGAAAATGGTGACGAAACGCGCACACACAAACGTTCCCCCAAAATTCCCCCCCCCCAACACACATGTCACGTATTTTTGATCATCCGATCCGTCTTCTTGAGTTCGTTTTGTCACACTTTCAACACGTCACATTGTAGTTTTCTGGGCCATGTGCAACATGTGCACGTAACATTGTAGTTTTCTTCAGCAAACGTGCGGAACACATGCGACCCTAGCAGCCTCGCTCTGGAAACAGGTTCCCTATGGGACCCCCGACCAGCATCGTATAGACGGCCCGCCCTGGAACAGCTGTCGGCACCCTCGCTACAGCCACGGTGGGGCGCAGGGGCGCCGGCGCCACCGCGGTCGGTGGTGCATAGACCTCAGCGGCTGAAGAAGGGAATCACACTGTGATGGCATAACAAACAGCCTCTTGCATTCATCGCATGATGGAAATGTAGCGCCTTCATCGCATATCGACAGGTCATTTTCCAAAGACAACACCTGGGAATGTATGTGATTTCCTATAGAAAATGTATCAACGCATGGAAAATGTGTGATTCCTCGCATCAATGCACAGTGGGCCTATAGGCGGAAGAGGACAAGGCTGAGGCTGCGACCTGCTGTGGATAAGCGGGGACAGCAGCATATCTGGGATATGCCAAGGACGTGCCAGCGAAAGTCGCGGTGCCCGCCATTGGGTGCCCGTCCATGTTCGTTTCTGATGTTCTTCCAAATTAAAGCGACCTTTGAAAAGCACATCTTTTCTGTATAGAACCTGGCAGCCAGACAGTGGATCTTCATCTCAACATGTGTCTTGCCCGGCAAACATGTCAGTATGTCTTTCCGTAACTACATGCAACAAACCCATTTGGTGACCCATGTATGGCTCTTGCCAACGAAAGGCTTGCGGCAATGCACCAAGCAGTGAAGTATTTCACATCCGAATGGGTTCACAGGGCTTCAGTGGTTCACTGATGGAACTCTCGCACCTCGCTATCGCGAAGTGTGGTTTCCGGCCATGTTGGAATCACATCGGCATCAAAGCATCAATCTATAGTCCGACACATGTCCCCGTGCCACGGGCAGACTCCATCCACGGTCAGATTCGATCCACTCAACATCCCTGAACCCATCGCATTTGCTTCTGGCCAGCAGTGAAACGTGGCATCTCATAGCCGGTGAAACGGTCGACGTCTCTCCATCCGCCGTGACGTCTTTCGGCGGATGAGGCATGGAGACGTAGATTGAGACCCATCCGACCCCCCCAAAAAGCATCCATGAATACAATCTGTAACATAAGCACAATCTCAAGAGACGTTCGGAGAACAGCGGCCATCAAGAATCATGAAATATGAAAGTCCCTATATAGTTTGAGTTGGCTCTTTTTTTCAGGGTCGCCTACAGTTGAATTCACATCTCAAACTGAAAGGTGGCATCTTTTGCCTCCCGCATATAAATCGTCGCGGAATCCATGGAACATGACGACATGTATAGAACTCCTTCACAACTGCAACAACCTTCGCTTGCTTTCACCTTCCCTGTGCACACTATATCAAAGACTGGAACCAACTCACCGGTCTTGCGTTGTGGAACAGGTAGCACCGTGCTACGCACCTTTGACCCCCGCCCTACTCGCCTGACCTGCCGCTAGCTCTCTGGTGTAGGGTCCTCGACTCGGAGAGGGGGCGACCGTGCTGGATGGAGACATGGCCCGGGGGCCTGCGATGGGGTGTGTAGCGATGGCCACAGGAGCGGAGGAAATCCCGAGGTTCGGTTCAAACATGATCAGCCCTATCCACCAGGGCCTGGCCAGGGGATCTTCAAAAGGAGACACCCGGTTCAGTATCCCAAGATGTCGGCAGTCTTTCAGATTCTTCCACCCGACTTACTTGGCGCAGCTCCATCTCAAAGAAATCCGCCCCCCTTCGTACGTGAGACGCTTGTAACAAGGCTTAGTAACAAAACATCTATACTGAGAAATCTCAAATCATCCAGGTCCACCCAGTGGTAGGCATACAACGTTATACGCATGTCGTTCAACCCACCCAGTGAATTGCCGTGTAAAAGTTGAGGTCAACAATCTCAAGCGTCTAGACGCTTCGTCCCACCTCGTCCAAAGACCGTTGCATCTCCTGGCCCGTGAGTCATAAGTGATGCAGCCCGTGGAAGCATTTTCCAATCTAAAGTTAGTATCCATTTTAAGGTCTACCATTCTGAGCATGCCCTTGTCTGACCTACTTCTTGCACATTGGACTGCTGCATAGGACCAGTTCTTCAGTTGTTTGGATGAAACCCCACCTGAAACGGCAGTTCTGTACAGCAACTCTTGAAGCGCACATGTTTCTCTCCCCACCCGTGACGCGTGCCGCGTCCTGCATCTGCTGAAGTTGCTGCTGTCGCTCCTTCAATGCCTTAAAAAAGTCTTTCAGATTCACCCAGATGGTGATGGGACAAAAGAAATAACAACGCACCACCTTTGTGTCTTCGCTCTCATTTTTATATATGTTCAGTGATTGGTTTCCTTTATCTTCAACATCGACGACTTCATGCGCATCAACAGATCTCCGACCGGCCTCCATCTTGGCTTGCATCGATGAAGCCCAAGCATCTCCACAGACCTTTCAGGAGTTCATTTAATCGTCGATGATGAGGAGACCGGGCCTCTAAATGGATTCCAAAGAAGTCAGTTAGATAGGTACTTTCACACGAATTCTGGAACGTCCTCGGTGAAGTGCCTGGATGGCCCCCCAGGTTTGAACGACCATGTTATAGAAGACGAAACAGGGTGGTGGTTCACTCCACTCCACTTGAACGATGATTTCAGGGAGCGAAAAGACTACGACGTTCTTCCACAGTCTGCTTCAGGCGAAGCACGCTCCGAACATGAAGATGGATCATGTGGCAGCACTCGCACCAAAGAAAGACCACCCAAAAAACGGTCCAGGTGCACCTCGGAACAAAGCCTCTTTGGACTCGCACCAGATGGATCCGCCCTTTCAACGGCATACCTGAAGATATCGAAGAGGCATCGGTGGCGCTGCGAAACAGCCGACGGCGCGCATGCCACGCACGCCAGGTTCGCACGGCCCAGCTGGAAAACTTCTGGTGTCAAAGAGTCAAAATTCCTGAAGCTTGGAATAGCCTGGAACGGTGCACCCGGCTGCGCCAGTTTGGTGTAACGTGGAGGCTGCGTTCGGTGGTTTCTCTTCCGGGGCACTGTGCATAGAATTGCTTGAAGCACCTGGAAAACGGAAGGAGATTTGTGCGGGCATGAAGATGGGACAGGCGGGTTTGGAATGGAACACTAACCTAGCTTCATGCCAGAAGAGGTGCTCTTCCACCAAGGATATATAAGTCAGTCCTACCACCAAACTCCACCAAATATTTGACTAGCTTATCTTGCACATTCTTGCACAACATTTGCCAACAATATTGAAGAGGCTTCAACATTGAAGGCCTCTTGAATCAACACCAGTCAGTGCGGGTTACTAGGCATCGGGCTGATAGCAACAAAGCCTCTCCTCAACAGGTCCAGCGTCTGCCCTAGCAGCGCCCAGTTGAAGCAATGAAGTCGTGGGGTAGTGTGTGGATGGGAAGAAACCATGGCAATCATGGCGAGATATATTCGGTCAGTGCAGCTTGAAGTTCGCGTTGCTGTAGCTTGCCGTAGACTGCCTAATTATACTACATTAGACTTAACTCATGTCACCTATCGTTAAACCCGAAATGGATGAACCACTGATGTGCTGGTATCAAATGAAACGATCCTCAAACACCACTTTCGATCCACTTGGTCACTTGGTGGCCACACGTCCCAGCACCCTGGCTCTCGACCGGCAACTTGGCTGGGGTGCTTGCACCTGAGGTACTTCGAAAGCCGCAGGTCGCCGCAAAAGGAGTGGGATCTTGTGGTTGTAGGTCTCTGGAATGAGTCATGAGCAGCTCAGAGTTCGCTGTGGCTGTGGAAGTGGCGAGGTTTGATGAGCTTCCTACCTTAATTAAGGCAAAAACACGGAGATCGCTAAATTACAAAACACATCTAAACACCCTGATGAACTGGAGCAAGCGAAAGGCTTGAAGTCTAACAACACGTCGATTGGCAATGAAGAAAGCGGATGAACATGTGCAAAACAAAACACGCTTTGGCCAGCCATCTTCCGCTGTCACTCACCCCCATCCAGCTTGTTCGGGGTCCGACGCTCGAGGTTCACGTCGTGGTCTCCCAAGCTGGCCCAGAAGGAGCCGGCCTGACAGACGCTGTCAGCGAACGAACGGGACGGTCCGTTCGGACGAGAACTGGAGCGACGAAGATGCGGAGCGCGCGCCAAGCGAATGGGTGAGCTCGTCGAAGACAAGGCGTCCATGTGTGAGACGACACCAAAAATAGGCGCTAAAAAGAAACAAAGACATCGAAGACCACTGTGTCTGTGGGGCACGGCATACAGGCGGTTTCTTTGATGTCTCCCTTCTTTTGGATGCGCCTTGGAATCAGGCGCAGTCACTTCAGGAGCCTTGTTGCCTGCAAAATGCCGTGCTGTCTGGACAGTGATGCTCTACTCCTCCCTCTCTCTCTCTCTGTGGTGATCCAGAAGGAAAACTCTGTCACTGGCCCGGATCAAATAAATCCGTAATTACCTTGTACTCTCCAATAGGTGGACCCATTTTGTGACAGCACCATTTCAAGGAAACACATACAGTAGCTATACCTCCAGCTGCTTTCGGATGGCAAGCACTCAATTCCTTTCAACGTCCCTCCTTCGCATCGCCGAGTTCCCACCTTGTCGCCAGGCCATGAGGGCTTCTTGGAAGCTGGCAGCCGAGTCCTCACGGCTGGGGCTGGCGTGGGAGAAGAAGACCCACAGGATCGCCCATTTCGCTGGGTGAAATTTCACCATACCCTTCGGACTTCAAGGGACCCGGAACAAATCGGAGGTCAATTGGAACGCATCTCATGGTGGACATTCAATCGTCCAGACTTGGTTTGATGGGTCTTGAACCCAGCCCGAATCTACAGCACTGGCTTTATAATTCTATCATGAATCCAACCCCAAAGACCAAGCCAACACAAATGAACCGGAATTTCCCCAGGCATCGCCAGGCGCTGCTTTGCACATCTGCACAGGTCGGTCGCCGAAGACCGTCGTTGTCTTCAGATGTCGCGGAGCGCTCCTCCTCGCTGAAGTGGCCCTCCAGCAAATTGGATACACCTACGGCTGTTGAGGCTGTCTCGCTGTCTTGGCGCCGCGCTGAGCTTGGCGCGTAAAGCGGAGTTGGGACTGGATTGGGAGTTCGGACCGCTGCTGGGTGATTGACATCCAAGCCAATTCGAAGAGTGAGGTGCAACTTAGAAAAGATATGACAAACATAGCAAAAGCATGCAAAAGCAAAGACATGCAAAGACCCAAGGAAAAGAAGGTGCAGAGAAATGGAGTTGGTCGCCGAGCTCCGCACTGGTTCCCTGCCCTTCTCCGGGCATCGCTTCCTGCTTTTGGGGGGGACGCTTCTTGTGCGGCCTCACGTGGCACCCGCGATCAATCACATTTGCAAATGAGGAGAAACTCTCTGATGCCTGGAGATATGAAACATACAAATAAATATGAACAACACATTGTACTTGAAGCAAAGTGTTTTTGTGCACGACTCATTGTTGGGGCTGAGTTTGAGGATCACATCTGGGACAACATCGAAATCGATGTGTCTCTGGGTATCTCATGCAGGTCCAGCAAGTTCTCCCCAAATGCGCCCTGTCCGCTGAACTGAACGCTGGTGAGTCGGTCCGGCCTGAGATGTAAAGCTCACCTTTCGGCCCAGCTCCACACCTGGTGGAGACCGGGACCGCAGGGTTGGTCGGGGCGTGGCGAGCCGCAGAGTGCTCAGAGGTCGAAAAGATATGCGTCCCGCGCAATGGGTGCAGGTTTGACACTTGCGTTCCCTTTTGTTTCAACAAGTGTCCTGGCATGCGGACTGCTCTCCGCTGGCTCGACCGCCGAGAGCGCGCATGCGGACCGCAAGTGAGGATGTTTCAACAAGCGTCGGCTTCTCATCGTCTCTCAGTAGTTTTGGGAGGCCTTTGACTCAGACTCGGATGTGTCCCACTCAGTCTCGGATGTCACCTCCGCTCGAGAAACCGCTTCTCGGGTTCCCAGCGCTTCGCAGGCTTCATTTCGGTCAAGCGCTTCCTATAGCGAACGCGCCCAGCATGGGTGGCTTGAATTTGAATCAGTTTCATCTCCCTGTTGGAAGGACAAAGGACCTGTTGGAAGACAGACGACTGGGCCAGTTGCCCATGTTTTCGGATGAACTTATAAATGGAGGCATACCATGGCATACCAGTAACAAAACATGTTTACAAACGCTCTGAGGGACGAGTACTGTACCCTGATCACACCAGTGTCATGTCAGGTCTTGCATTTCGGATTCAATATGTTCACCCTCAGGGTTCATATAAAACCCCTCAACATGTTTCAGCTGAATACATAGATGATCATTGCAATCTAAACATCGAGTGCGCTGCGTCGTGGTCCGTGCGCCTTAGCTTCAGGACGTGCCCGGCCGCCATGCCCAGCTGCTGCATGTGCTGCTCCTGGCAGGGCCGCCGCTTTGTATCGAAGCGTTTGGCATCCAACATCCTCAGAAGGGAAAGGACGCTACTAGGGGCTCCTGGCATCGCTACTAGGAGCAAGAACGCTACTAGGGGCTCCTGGCATACTCCTAGGAGCAAGGATGCTACTAGGAACAAGAGGACGCTACTAGGGGCTCCCTTCTCGGATGGTATATGTGGATCCTGACAGATTCCTTTGGCATCTGGCAGGCTGAGATGAAGCAGATGGCGTGAGGTCCATTCGCTCCTCCATCTCTTTCACAACGTCCATGCAATCAAAGCCATGCTCCTGCACTGTGGGAAGAAATTGATGGAACTTCCAGGAAGTCAAGGAGTCTCTCGCAGATTGTGATTAAATCATGATAGACCACACTTCAATGATTTGCATGCGCACATGGATATTGAGACTGAACATTGAAACCAAACAACACGTCTGCTCCATAGCAAACCACACGTCTGCTCCATCAAGCTAATCGAAAGGATCCCATCGAAACCCAAGGAGTCCATTCCCCAAATCGAAACACCAATCCAAGGAGTCCATGAAGAGGCTCATATATCTTTCCAGCTTCAAGGAGCACAAGAAGGCCTCGCCGCGCTCACGTTCCCGTGCCGCGGTGTGTGAACTGACCCCACCGTGCCGGGTTCCGAGAGGAGCGATACTGGAGAGTCGACTGGTCTCCATGTTCTCTTTGAACTCAAAAGGATAGGGTTCTAAACACATGGGGACCGATGGTGCGAAATCGCGCATCTGATATCGCGCATCTAAATGAGGGTGCAACTCCGACCTAGCAATCAAGTCAAATGAGAAAACACAAAAGTATAACAACAACTTCAAACAATGAGATGCTTCACACATATGAGGCGCAACGTTAAGGTGAGGAAATTGTACTGGGCTAAACACAGGCCACCAGTGGCTCCAGAAACCAGCGTTTTGTGGGTCAAAGCACCAACTGTTTCACAGGAGCCACATCTCCGCCATGTCGCTTAAAATATAACCAGTCGTCAGCCAAACCACTCTGGTTTCGCTTCACACAACACGTCTCCAAAATTCTCAATATTGAAGACTCTAGCAGCAGACGCATGCTGAAGCATTCTTGCTTGGTCCGCCTCCACTTCCAAGGCATCCCTGTCTTGGTGTTGCAGTGCCGCCTTCAGCCGCGATGAGGCATCTCACTCCGATGGTGGGCGTTGCCGGCATCTCACGGAGGTGGGGTGGATTGATTGGGAAGGCCCAGTGTCAGGTTTATTTTATGAACTGTGATGTAGCTGCTGGTGGGCGATGCATCCATAGAGATGGGAACCTCCAGTCCTCCAGTGCCCAAATAACGTCCAAAGGGTCTGCTTCAAGCCTGTCCTACAAACCCTGTGGAAAACAAGCAATTGCAGGGTTCTATAAAACCCAGGTGCCAACCTGCAAATTTGAGGCGGCGCCACCAAGTGCAGCGCTTACTTTGGCGGCTTTGTCCTGGCCGAGGTCGGGCCCCAGCGATAGGGGTGTAGCAACTATAGCATGAATAGCGATGGCCTCCAACCTAATAGCAAAAGGAACCTAATAGGAATGGCCTCCAAACTAGTAGTGATGGCCTCCAACCTGATAGCAATGGCCTCCAACCTATAGTGTTGGGCAAAAACTGGACGCTTGGGTGAAATCTGCAATTTTCATGAGAATCATGCTGGTCTGCCAATCTCAAGGTAGATCTACCGGCGTTTCTCCTTTCCGGCGTGAATTACTATTGTATACTATTATTGTCGTGTCAACATCAAACCTCAGTGTACAGGCACATGAAGCAATCCAAGATATTCTCAGCCAGCAAACTAATCCTCCCAATTCTATAAAATGCTCAAAGCCAGTGCAACAAATGAGTGCCTCTCTCCTTCCGAATTCCCACACTTGATTGACGCATCTCTGTTGCCTCTGGACTCTGCTCAGGACTAGCCAGCAGCTGCGACATCACGGGAGTGGCCTAAGAAATTCATCACCCACAGAGGTACCGTGGATCTTTTCAGCAAAACACGCCGAAATGCGGCGACTTTTCCCACAGAGGGCGTCTCTTCTCATCTATCTTTTGGCAAGGCTCTACTTTCATTTCATCATGTCTGGTGTTTTGAGACATGTCTGGTCATGTCTATGCCGTGCTTGTGCTAAGACATTTCGGATATCTCTCCCTTCTATGTCCCCTCTTCTCTTGCCTCGTCGGTCGGTGTCTTGGCCTCCTTCTCTGGCCTTGGTTTTTTTGGCAGTCGTGGGGCGCCCTGGAGACCGGAGTAGGACAGGAC